ATTAATTTTATCTTTCTTTTCATTTTTGTTTTGAACACAGGGTTTCACTGTGTAGCTCAGCTCAGGCTGGCCTGGGACTCTTGCCTGAGCCTCCTGAGTGCCAGAATTACAGGCATATGCCATCATGCTCAGCTTCTTACTTTGTAAAATGTAGCCACTGGAAGATTTAAACTTACATATAAGGCTTACATTATATTTGTTTTGCAGAGCACTGGTCTGAAAAGTCTGGAATGTGTAGAAGATCGATAGTCATTGTATCATAGCATGAACATTTAGTCCATTTATTTGCTCTGATAAATAAAATTTAAACATTTCCAAAATATTGAAAGCATATTCTGTCAAATTGCAAGTTTAAAATTAAACATATTTTCAGCCAGGCGTGGTGGCACATGCCTGTAATTCTAGCAGTTGGGAGGCTCAGGCAGGAGGATTGCTGAGAGTTTGAGGCCAGCCTGAACTATATAGTGAGACTCTGTCTCAAAAAACAAAACAGGGTTGAGGATGTAGCTCAGTAGTACAAAGCCTCCCTGATAAGCACAAGGCTCTGAGTTCAGTTCCCCATACCAAAAAACTAAACCAAACCAAAACAAAACCCCCCAAACAACAACAAAAATAAAATAAAACAAATTTTAGCTGGGTGTGGTGATGCACACCTGTAATCCTGGTGCTATAGATGACTGAGGCAGGAGGATCACGAGTTCAAGCCTCACCTGGGCAACTTAGTGACTTTGTGAGAACCTGTCTCAAAATAAAAAATACAAAGTGGGAGATGTAGTTTAGTGTGTAGGTCATGGGTTCAATTTTCAGTATCACAAAAAAATGAAATAAATTCTAAGTTAGTAAGTAAATTGTACTTTACCATTAGTTATTGCAGAATATACTGAACGACAGCTACGACTGAGCCTACCTCAGTGTTAATGTGCTCAAAAATTCATTCAGAAGAGTTTTGATGTTGGCAAAGCCTTTAAAATATGCAGTTCTTGGCCCGGGGATTTAGCTCAGTGGTTCCACTGCCTGCACCACAAGCACAAGGAACCAAGTTCGATCCCCGGTACCAAAAAAAAAAAGAATTACAGTAAAATATGCAGTTCTTGGTGGGCGTGATGGTGCACACCAGTAATCCTAATACTGAGGGGACTGAGGCAGGAGGATTGCCTGGAGGCCTGGGTTACATAGTGAGTTCAAAGCAAGCCCAAACCACATGTTGAGACCCTGTCTCAAAACTCCAAAAAACAAAAAAAAGTTCCTCATGTAGGAATTTCAGTTTCTGGGATTGTCTGAAGAGAATACATGCCATATTTACTGATGTGAGGTTTTATTGTAATTTGTGTTCAGAACAACTTAAACTAGGTTATTGTTTCTATTATCCATGGAAACACTTGGAATTTGAATTCTGAATTAAGTAAATTTTAGGTATATTTAATAGTGTGTCATGAGACAGAAATACAAGTTGTAAATAGCTATCATCAGTTTAAAGTAGTGATATTGTTCTGTCTTAAATGTAAATGAATGAAATGTAAAAATGCTATCCATTTTAGTTGTTGCAATATAATTTAAGTAAAATATGCAAATAAAGCTGGAGCTGTGGCTCAGTAGCAGAATACTTGCCTAGCTAGTGTGAGGCCCTGGAGTAGGGGAGAAATGCTAGTCATTGATTTAACTAGGCTAATAATGTAAAGTATATGTTGACATTGACAAAGTAGATCTGGAAGAATGTACTTCAGATTTTTAACACTTTAACAGTGGACCCACGAGGATGATGTGGAAGATAGCACATTTTATATCTGTTAGTGTATTTGGAATTTTTTAGTGTATTTGAATTTTTTTTTTAACTGAGCATCAGTTAAAAAAAAACAAAAAAGAGGGAGGATAGGTTAAAAATAGTCCTCACTGGAAAAGTATTTGTGATTTTTTTTTTTTTTAAAGGACATAAATGTCAATATGTCTTTATTTATTTATTTATTTAAGATAGGGTCTCTGGGCTGGGGATTTAGCTCAGTGGTTTCGCCGCCTGCTGCGCAAGCGCAAGGACCCG